AAAAGGCATTTAGTTTAATCTTGAGACCCTTTTTTTCAACCTAGCAATTTTTTGATTTCATGTCAGAGGGGAATGAAATTTAGGTTTTTACTGGGTTTTCTTAAAATCTCAAAAAAGCACTTCGACATTTCCAAATGGGTGATTCATTAAACATCATATGCTGTGAAAGAGGACAGAGATTAGATTATCAGTGAAAGGCTCATTATGTGAGTTCTGGGTTTCGTGAGGTCCATGAAAGAGCTCTGACCAGGAGACAGTGAGTGGCTCCTGAGAAACTAGGCTCTCCTTCAAGGATCTGAATTACTCATTTGTGGATATGACATTACAAGAACTATCATTTGCCCCTCAGAAAACTTCTACATCCTTCTTCATACAGTCTCTGTGTTCACATAGAGGAAGTTCAAAGGCTCTTTTAACTCCTTTTAACTTTGACAACAATACCAAATCCGACCCTAAGACCCCTTACCTTCTCATGCTCTCAAGGTACTTAGGGAATCACCTAACTTTGTGATTGAAATTAATGTTTTCATTCCACTGCGAATGCTTGAGCTCAACACACACACCAGCAGAGTGAAGCCCCTTCGGCTTCGTCAGGCAGGTAATACGCCTCTTTTTTTTTTTTTCTTTTCATTATCCCTTTAATGCAGAGCAGGGCTACTGATTACAAAGAGGCAGTTTGACTCCAGCAATAGGTCTTCTTCACTAATCCTCACTGTCATGGAAATTCCAGCTGCTACAAGAATAAGAGGTTCAATCCATATTTGCCAGCTCTAATATGAAATCTGTCAGAGCCCAAATTAATGAGTTCCAAATTCCTTACATCACGATAACAGGTTAAGACTGGTCAATTAATTACATAAATCCTTCCCGATTCATTGTGCGTTTGCAGCCCAGATTGTGTCTTACATTACTCCACGACACAAGGCCTTTTGGCTCCTGTTGTTCTGCAGAAAGGCCCCATTTAAGCGGAGGCTGCCTGCCACGGCAAAATGTTAAATGTCACACGTTAAATTTGCACTTTTCTGTAATTGCTTTTGTTAAAAAAAAAAAAAATTAAATGAAAGCCCAGGGCTCCCAGCACACCACTATGCAGAGGCCTGGGGTGGTACTGAATGGACCCCCAGGCATGCAAGGAGCTACCCTTCACCTCTAAAGGTTCGCAGGGTCTCTCCGCACCAGGTGCCCAGTAGGGAGTGGAACCCGGAACGCGCCCATTTGTGAAAATGCACCAAGTTTCCCTAGAATCTGTGGCAGCAAAAATGCATACTTGGGCGAGTCTTTTCTTTATGAAAGGATTAAAATAGCATCTTTACATAGCCAGATTCCCTTCTGTCCACCAGCAACAGAGATCTAAAACACGACTGATCTAACCACGTCTTCAGGACCATACATGGTACAAATGAAGGCGTGTGATGCTTGTGTAGATCTTTGCCATCCTAAAAGATGGTGCCGATGGCTTGGCTATTCGGGCTTGTAACTGGTACACATCTACAGAGGGAAAATAATTGAGGCTTAAGATCTCGAAGGAGTTCAAAAATCATTCAGGCCAAACGTTTTCTTTTTTAAAACAGCAAAATGGGCTTGGAATCACAAGTCGTTTGAACTAGACGTAGTACGGTGGACTTCCAGTGTCCTCGAAGCGGGTCTGCACGCCAGCACATTTCCTTGCGGAAGGGGCTTTCAGGTGCCCGAGGTGCTCCGTTGAAAGGACCCAGTCCCTGGTTGTATTTTCCTGCATCATCTCATTGAGGGCGGGGGGTTCTGCGAATACACCAGCGAGCAGACGATGCCCCTAAGCACAAACTGAAATCTACGTGGGGCGCAGGTTCCCGCGGGTTCCTTCGACCTGGAACCCCTAACGCCACTCTCCACCGCGCGGACAAACCAGACCGCAAGCCGCGCGTTCTCTCCGCCGCGCTGGCCCGGCAGCGCCCCCCTCTGTCCTCCGGCCGCCTCGCATCGGCTATGCCACCGGCGCGCGCCTCTTTTTTCCAGGCGAAGAACACAGCCCGGCTTCTGGGCCCTCAGCCTAAAGCGGTGGAGCATCCCTGTTCCTAAACCCCCACACACGCACACACAGACATTAAACTCTGACCCAGGGCCGTTTCTGGACCCGGAGGCACGCCCGTCTATCCCGAGGCCCAGGGCCGCCACCAGGTGCGACTGTCCCCTCCCTCTCCAAACGGGAGGAGGCGAGTTTAAGGCGACGGCGAGTTCGCTCGGCAGGTTTTAAGGTCCTGGGGAGACTGGAGAGGAGAGGGGTTAGCCAATGGGCGCGGTGCGTGCGCCGACATTTGGAGCGCACCGGCTTCGCCCCGGGCTCGCCTCGACCCCGGGGCGCTCTCGGGGGGCGCGCCAGGCCTCGTCGCCTCCAGGCCGGGCGGCACTCCGTCGCCCGCTCTCCGGCCGGCCGGCGGGGTCGGGGGCCGCAGCGCCGCGAGCATCTGCAGAACAAAGACTCGGGTCTAGACGGGACAACGCCGCCGCCGCCGCCTCCCCCGGCTCCGGCGCGGCCGCCCCCGACCCAGCCATCCCCAAGCCCCCCAGAGCGGCGGGGTTGCGGCCCCACGCGCGCTCCCAAACCCAGCCGGGGCCCCCAGGAGACCCCTGAGCCTCGAGGCCCGCGGCGGGGGCATCGCTATTCGAAGCTCCTTCCCCGACACCAAACCCACCCTCCGAGACCCCTGTGCATTCTTCTGTCTTATTATTATTTTTCAAGCAGCCAGAGTTGTCACTTTCATATTGGGAAGGGGGCGGCCCTCGTGGTGCCCACGTTGGCAGCAGGTGGGGCAGGGGAGAGGGCGCTGCAGGTTTGCGCTGTAAGTCGCCGTCTTTTTGCGATTGTTGTTCCCACTCGCCACCCACCGCCCCCCTCCACCCGGTTTTTTTTTCCCTCTTTCTTTCCGCAGCGCAGTTGCTATGGGTTACCAGGGCGGTTGCCATGGGTTACCGGACCGAGGCCGGCTGGCTCGCTACCTGCCGCCCAGTCGCCGCCGCAGCCGCCGCCGGCGGAGCGCCCGGGCGGGAGGAGGCGGGAGCGCGCGTGTGCGGGACGCGGCGCGGGGGAGTGTGCGCGGGCCGCCGAGGCGCCGCAGCCAACGGGCGGCCGAGGGGGCAGCGGCGGGAGCGCCACCGCCAGTCGGGTGGGGGCAGAGCTATAAAGAAGACCCGGAGGTAAGAAACTAACAAAAACACAGCCGCAAGTTATGCCCGTGCTGTGCCTCGACAGCAGCAAAGCCGAGTGGTGTGGGCTCTGGGATGAATCTACACCTCTCGTGGGGGAGAGAAAGGGGATCTTCCTCTTTAGCATAAGCCGTTTGCATCGTGTTTTTAGTCCGGAGTTTACTTTCAGCAGGAAACTGTAGCTGAGTTTTTCCGTCCTCTTTTCGTCTATATCATTTGAAAAGAAGTCTTTGGCATTTTGGGAAAAGAAGATGATCATTACCAGATCAGAGTTGGCGCAGCTGAAATAAATGACTGTCCAATGCAGGGTTCGTAACAATGATGGAGAAAAGTTTCCAACAAGAGTGAACAGCAATTGTGTCTGACTTAAAGGGACAATGCGTCGTTTGGGAGACGCATATGGCAAAGAACAGGGCCCAAATCCTTAGTGAATACTTCAAATTTTAAAATGCTGCTTACTTACATTCTTCCAAAATTTTTGAACTTCCTCTATTACAACGTATTAATTTCTTATGACCTTTATTTGCAAAGAAAATTGTATCTATGCTTTGAATGTCAAATTGCAGTAATTAATTTCAGACAGCATTTTGTATTTGAAAATGTGTTTCTATATAATAAAGGCAGAGAAGCTCTATGGTCCAAACAAAACCAGAAAATTGTGTTCTATAAATAATTGGTTTCCTCCACTGAAAAGATGCTACATTGAATTTACAGGACACCAACTAAGCAATTTAAATATTAAGAGGACAACTATTTAGAAAGAGAATAAGCTTTCATTTTGTTATTTTTGTCTTAAAACTGTAGAAGCCCTTCCTGAAAAAAACGGTCTTCCATTTTATAGCTGAAATACTGAAAACCTTATTTGTGCCACAGCAGCTCCATAATGATGAATCCTCTTAAGGAACCAAAAAAAAACAACAACAACAACAAAAAACCTGAGTTCAAAACAACATTCAATTTACTGTTGGATATAACGGTAATTGTGGTGAGACTAAATGAATTTGTTTATGTTCTTAATAGCCATAAAAGAAATTTTATTCTTTTACCTTACCACAGTAAGGTTATTGCATATCACTTGTTTGTATTTAATTATTCAATAAAGTGTGTGTTAGGCTCAAAAAGCTGCTGCAAGATATTTAATATCTTAAGGGACATAACTACTTAAAGATAAAAATTTCTGTTTTTCCTTAGTAATTTCACTAGAATCTGTATCACTTTTTTCCAAGTGAGACTTTAAAGAAGCCCTAAGTAACAGGTTGTTGATTTCCCTTGTTGACACCTCTGGGTTATATATAAAACCAGTTCTCAAACAAAACCCACAAACTGGCTTTATAGGTGAATCATTTACCCTTTAAGAACTAGCCAGGGAACTACAGCTCTGCTGTAGGTAAATCATAAAGCATCCGAGATTAGATTTCTTTAAGTTACATTAAAAAGTTTTAAATAAACATGTATTTAATTCAGTTACTCAGTAATTACTTTCTTTTCCAAAAGAAAGCTTTATAAAATATGTCAGAGAAAAATAGACTTGAACATAGCAAGAAAGCCATTGGGGGCTGAAGTTCACCTAAATATCTCAGCTGCAGAAAATGAGTTTTAAGAAGCCAACGCTTAGATCAAAACAACCAAACCAAGGCTAAAAACCCCAAATGTGTACAACTATACTGACTATTAAACCAAATCTTACCAAAGTTTCTCATTAAAACTTTCTGCTTGATCAAAAACACTGAAATTAGGTGGGAGCCAAAAAAAAAAAAAAATATATATATATATATATATATTCTCATCTATAAAATAAGTGATCCAACAAACTGAACTTAATTATTTCACGTTTAATGTGAAAACAATGATCTTGTGAAGGTTATATACCACAGTATTAGGCATCACTTAATATCAGTAATGGCTATGTTACATCATCTAAAAAATAATATGACAACTGGTGGCACATTACATGCTCTTCAAAACTGCTGTAAAACGGAAATAATGTGAATTCAAGTACATACTGCTGAACAAGCTAAGGGTCGCTCTTAAATGACGAGATGGCAAACTTTAAAGGTTAGCAAGATAAAACGAAATTGCTCAGTCTCTTTCTCCTGTATGAAGATGAGTCTTAGATGATAAAATAACAAGATCCAAGATACAGTAAATCAAAATATTTACAAAAGTTCAATACTGCTTTAGACCAAACAAAAACAAAAAGGAAAACTTAAGGAAGTCATTCTTATTCTAAATTTAATTTTTTTTCTGTTCTCAGTTACGAGCACTTCAAAGACTCTTTCAGAATACGGTTAACTTGTAAACTCCCAGGTGAAATAAAATGAGGCGAGGTAACATTTAATTAAAGCAACAAGTTACGTGAAAATGGCTTCCGGGTAGTTTGAGGGATACTTCATGGCATTCAACAAAGAAGAAACTTGGATAATTATCTCAAGAAAACGCTGCGTCATCTCACATTTGAAGTTCAATGTAGTTTATCTAAGACATTTTATCTCTGGGCCACTAAAACACAAGACATTTTATTAAATTACACCAGTCCCCGGCCAGATGCCTTAAAGGAAAGGCTCTTTAAATATGAGTCATTCTTAAATTACCAAGTTGATATTCTTTTTTTCTAAATGCTGGGGATGTTTACTGATAACATGAAATGTAGTAATTTTTAGAAGATCCCGCTTCTAACTTAAAAATAAGTAACACGTAACCACCACTGACGCTGAAAGTTACTTAGTGATAAGACACTGCACATTTAGTCAGAAAATAGTTAACCTGTAATCCTAGTTACACTGGGTAATGACAACACAGTCCCCGTTTCCAGAAAACCATGTGTTACAGCTGAATCTGAACAATGAAACTGTATTTCTGAATCTCTAGATTGCAAATATAAGCAAAAAATGACGCACACGATTTCTGTTTTCATATAAGACATAAACGTTATTTTACCATGTCTCTAGTCGTAAGGTATGTTTTCCATCTACATGTGAAATAAGATACTGGAAAGGTGAGGCTTCTTAAGATATTTCAGTCAAACATCTGAAAGCGAAGGGTTTTCCCAGGGCAGGGGAGGTGCCTCCGAAACATCAGCCACATGTCTGAAAGAGGCGGTCTGGTCTCTGCCATCAGTCTTCATACTGGCTCAGACCATCCAAGCTGGGTTTATGCTAACACTGTCCCACCGACACGGGAAGGAACGCTCTGTCTGGATTTTCAGTGCTGCCTATTTACCTATCAGTAAACCCAACTCGGTGTTTCTAAACGAGTATGTCACTGCATTTCAGGGCAGGGTCTTGTTTTACTGATAATGTGTGCCTATAAAGGAAAGCTGCATTCACAGGCCTTTAGCTTTTTACAGAAGCTTATCCAAAATAAGACAACATAAAAATACCACTAATAAACAACCCAGCGCCTTTAAGAATTTAAATACCTAATATCATGACAGTGAGCTTTAGGTAAGAATCTATTATTAGCGAGCTTTCTTCTCCATGACTGGACATAATTCACTATTCCTAAGATGGTAACGTTAGAATTATTTTTCAGGATTCCTGTGGAGCCGTGCTCATTTTACATCCGTGTGAACTGCTGTCATCACTACTATGTCCAAGCCCAGAGGATGAACTGGAAAAGAAGAGAGGGGGAAAATAATAAAAAGAGGAAATTGGTTTTCACAACACACTCAAAGCCTGAGTAACAGAGGAGAACTTTAATTATCTCCAGTCACAAAGAGAGACAGGAAATTTGGACTTTTAATTAGCCATTTGGAGTGCAGTTGGATATTTTTTTAGCTAGATAATTTAAACGCGAATAATTCAAGTCTGACTAAATGAAAGTCACATAATCAGAATGCAGATAATTGAATTTCTACTGCATTCATTAATTCAGTGTGGAGGTGTGTGTGAAGACTACTATGATGAGCTGTCACAGCTCAATAAAATCTCAGTCAATTAATTTTTTCATTATCTTAGTATTACATCAACAAAAAAGTGAAGTGCATATATATATATACACACACATATATATATCTGTCTACACATGTGTAGACACTGCATACGTGCGCACTGCATTATACAGATACATATACGTTCAATCGAAATGCAAGGCAATACCTTTCTGAATCATAATCTATATCATTTTCTTTTTTTCCTTCTTCATCTTCTTCAGGGAAACGTCTGTTCATCAAGGCAAACTTGTGAATGGCGTCTTCCACAGAGTACTTAGTCTGCCCGGAGACGCAGGCCTCAATGTCTTCGGAATTCAAATGGCTCTGTAGGAATAGGTGAAGGCAGCTGTCTGAGAGCAGCAGCGCGTTCTGCAGAACCCTGTGTCAGAGAAGCAAGGAGACAGCCTTGGTGAACGGGGGTGGATGGTGAGAGGGTAGGAGAGGGGAGAAACGTTAGAAATGTGCCACCGAAATAATCTCTCGGCTATGGCGAACTTTGCGTCAATTAAAGGCTCTGCCTATTAAAAGGATGAAAGCCTGTGTTAACTTTTCTTCAATTATTTGGAAATTTAGGTGAGTCCAAACATGAAGCTAATAGTTGAGAACATCTGGTAAAAGAATAACTTCAAGGACATTTCTTCAATTTAACCATCTGTTATGACCATGTGGATTAATTATGGAAAGACTTTGCTGATGGTCATAGAAATGTAGTCTACTTAAAAAAATTTTTTTTACTGCCAACCGGCGTGTCTGTTCTGTGATCTTTATTGGCCAGGCTGGAATGGAACATCAGAACTTTCCACTACCATTGAAAATTATATTAAAAAGCCAATACATTTCTCAACATGTTTTATATTTTAAAACTTTACAAGTATGCTTATGTACACGTTTACAAGAACTAAGTTGAAAGGTGGCTTTTTTTTTTTGAATACCTAAGATTGACGAGAAATTTCTCCATGCTCAGCAGTAGCACTGTGTATCTATGTTATTAAAATAAGCCACCAAATATAATTGCTCCCAGTCCATGTTACCGTCTATCTACTTAAAATACGATGATTCTGTGGTAAGTATGTACCAGCCTTCCCATAGTCAAGGTCAAAGTTTACAAAGAGTATAGATTTCAACCAGTGCATCAGAACTACATGGAAAATTAAAAACGACTCTGCAACAAATCCATACATGCTCAAATTCATATTATTACTGAATGTGGGTTTTCTTTCTGAAATGCATGTCTTGGAAGGGGAAATTAATTCAGAGTACACCCTTATTTTAAAATAAAAACCGGTTTTACCTTTTCCGGAAAGATCTTGATGTATGGTAATTTAGTCTCTCTGAATAGTTCAATAAAAATATAATACAAGGCACTGAGACCAGATAGAAGGGACAAAACTAAAATACTAAAACCTGAGCATAACTTTGCCCACCATGGGATTTTTCATAGAGAGCTATATGAAAGGCCAGAGGAACCTTACCTTATAGTCTGCATTTTTACACAAATAATTAGAAAAGTAAATCTTTTTTGGCCATTCATATCAATTTACTTAAAATCCAATGTTGTTAGAAGACTTCCTTCACAATAAAACAGTTACTTCTTCAAGAAGGCAAAAGTCTAAATAGGTAGAGGATCACAACCAAAATGTAGCTTCAACAGCTTACCAAATGTAGCCTGGGAGAATATTCTTTACCGACCCTACTAAAAGGAAGCGAGAAAGCTTTGTGCATTTTAAAAGGGCAAAAATCTCAATCAGAGCAGCTAAATACTTCCCATCCCTCCATGTCCTCTGCCATGGCTTCTCCCAGAAGGTGACCGTGTCACATGGTAAAGATTAATTTGCCAAGTACAAGTAGTAAAGTAGTAAATCCCTTTTACTCTCTCTTTGAGAGTTATTTTCTACATTTACAAATGTTTACCACTCTTGTTTTAAACACTTGAAATCAAGAGAAGATTTATATGGCAACAGCCCATTAATATGAACTTGTATTCGCCGTGAAGTTTGCACGGGGTGTTTCCTGCACCCTTCTGTCTGTCAGTGGATTTCCTGCCAGCTGGGGTACAAGTAACTGCTCACAGGATTATACTTACTGCTTTATTTCTGTTGGAAATGTGTTTTATTTTCTTTATAAAATAATGGGTAATCTTTAAAATTGATTTTAGATGGTTCGAGGCATTACACCACAAAAGTAATGAGCACTAATGCCAATGATATTGGACACAAATTCATTTTAGCTTTATTTCACGTCTAAAGCAATTCTACTGAGCCTTGAACTGCCCACGCGCTGTTATTAACTTGCTGGTAACCTAACACATGGGTACAGCAAACAAAAGTGATCAGAGTCCAGGTTGATCGGGACCTCAAGGCTACTGTCCTTTTTCTTGAGCTATAATTCAATTTCCAATTTTACTGTACATTAGACTCATTATTTCCCAGTGTGTTCTCTTCTGCTCACTACTGCCATCTGGAGGACATGCCTGTGAAAGGCGAGAGCGCGCTGGCACACACCCAGCTCACAATTCTCAAGTGGGAGAACGTGGCTGGGGAGGCAAGATCTGCACACCACACAGGCCTGGAGTTCAAAGACAGTACATCTGAATGCCCTCTGGCTAGCTGGCTGGCTTACTTTATGCTACCGTACTCCATGGGTATGGCTTTTAGAGAAGCAAAATAATTTTTTAACATAATGATTTTTTACACTCAGATATTTCATTTCACAGTTAAAAAATACAAAATTTTGAAAGTATTTCCCCATCTGGCACAGTGAGCGTCACTAGTTCATTTTCAGTAGCACCTGGTTTACTGTATGTCAGAGAATGTTGTGACTGCCATCATCATCATATTAAATCCTATTTTTACCTGAGTCCTATTTGTGCCACATTTTCCACAAACAAATCTAATAGCAGAAATTAACTTCAAACTTCATATAAAGAGTACTCTGTAAAACGGTCAATAAACTGTCATCTTTATAAGCCTCCATAAAAACAAATGTATACAATTTCCAAGCCTTTATAAAAGGAGCAACAAATAGCCTCTAGAATTTTAGAGGAATTTCTGAAAAGATATTTACAACACAAGCCAAACATTATTCCTTTCCCCGTAACAACTTTAAACTAAACAAGGCAAATCTTGTTTTTCCCTTGAATTGGACACGGTTGAAAATCTGGTTTTCCTCAACCTGATTTTATTAGGTGTATTATAGACTGGTTCAGTTGGGAACAATATATAGCTATGCAAAACCATTTAATCAAACTAAGGATGCGCTGTCTGCTGAGCCCGATATAATGATATATACACATGTGTATAGAGAGTGGAAGGTTCGCCGTTGGATGCACGGGAAAAAGAATTTAAGTCAGCCTGTTTACCTCTTACCGTGAGGGGAAAAAAAAATAAAATCTACAAATCTTCACTGAAGACATTCATGGTCTGTGCTATGGTGCCCTCTATTGAATACAAAGACTAATAAATTGTGTGTGTGTGTGTGTGTGTGTGTGTGTGTGTGTGTGTGTTGTATAAAACTAGTGTTTCCATGGTATCCTTTCATAAAAGACTATAATATTCCTTAAATTTTTAAGAAATGTAAGGCTGGAATACAGAAGTCTACACTGAAAGGCACATGTAGTTATTTTAATGGGATGAATTCAGCAAACAAGGAAAGCTGGCTCCCATTCATGGTAAGAATCAAATAAAAAATGAGAAGAACTGCTGAGTTTAGAGTTAGGGACTTACCAACTCAGTTTATAATTTTAGTCCGTAACTTTCTTTTCCCACAGCTAATAGCAGAAGTGACTTACAATTTCTAATTAGCCGGGGCAGGGGGGGAATCCCAAAGAGAGATTATAGCCAAGATTGAGGGGAAATGAATGTATTTGAAAAATCTCACACTCATACTGACCAAATTTAACTAGCATCTAAGAGTTCTACTAATTGTAAACCTGCCAGATCGTAGAATGACTATGATGCCTCCTCCCTTCCTCTAACTGCCTTGTTTATAAAACAGGTGATATCTAATTCCTAATATTATTGTAGGAACCGAGCTAAAACATGCAAAAAGCTAGACACATAGCAAGTGTTCAATAAATGGTACAAATCATCATTCTTTGGCACCCAGTCAAAGGAATAACTTTCCAGTTCCTTTATGAAGACTGGCCTGGAGGTGTACTTTGTCATTAAAGATGCTATTATCGGCGCGCCTGGGTGACTCAGTCAGTTAAGCGACTGACTTTGGCTCAGGTCATCATCTCACATTTCGTGGGTTTGAGCCCTGCGTCAGGCTCTGTGCTGACAGCTCGGAGCCTGGAGCCTGTTTCAGATTCTGCGTCTCCCTCTCTCTGCCCTCCCCCATTTGTGCTCTGTCTCCCTCTCTTTCTCTCAAAAATAAATAAAATTTTTAATATTATTTCGCCTTAAGATGAATATACATAGTATACACACATATGCACAGAGACAGCAGCATTTTGTTTTTAAAGGGTTTGAATACATACATTCTTCTCGGTTCATAACTTCAAAACTTACATAAAAATCAGATTTAAAAAATACATGTGATAAATCCACAGCACAAGCATATATCACATTTTAATGCTGTGGTCTCTTTCCTCTCAAGCTCCTAGAAGTGTCCACAAAAAAAACCACGGTACAGGCCACTGACGGTGACCACTACTTAGCGGGCAGCCCACGGGGCCCCCGGGGATGTCAGGCCGGGGTCAGGACACAGCGCCAAGACCGCCGAGTTGCAAGTCACATCCTGCTTCCCAAAGTGGGCTTCGGCTCGGGGATCCCAGGGGGAATGAGCTGGAAGGTTGCTACTTCTACACAGACTGGACAAAGCTATACATCAGAATCCGAGGGACACAAAACGGAGGGTAAGGAGGACCTGGAGGGGCCACGGTATTTGGGCCATTTAGGTCGGGCCTGGATCCAAGCGTGTGGTTATTAGAGACTGCTTGCTTCCTTCAGGTTCAAACCACGTAGAAGCACCAGCTTTCACTTTCAACGTGAAACTCACCAGCGTGGAGCCTAATGTTCACCCACCTGAGTGGAACAAACACCACCACAAGAGAATGTGCTGTCTGCTCTCAGATTTGACTTATGGACGATAACCCAGAGCCCATTGTAACGAACTTCGCCATCCCCTGAGAAAGAGATAGTACTTTCCCACTAGAATGGAAGCTTCAAGTGGAGAAGGATCTGTGTCCTTTGTGTGCAGTCCAAAGTCGTCACTGAATAAATAGGTTTCCAGAGTCCTTTCCAATGCATCATCTTAACGACACAACCGACAACGGCAGCATCAGGAATGTGCTACGTTATCACACCCCTTATGACAAACTAAGGCACACAAAAATTAAGCAACTTTTCCAAGGTCGGATAGCCAGGAAAAAAGGAGGAGTTGAGACTCAGGGGAGACCTGGCACCCAGCTCCTCAAGCTCCTGATCTGGGATACTTTCCACTATGATGTCTGCATCAGATTCCATCAGCAAACAGCCAAGCGACACAGTATGCAAAAATAACCAAGCACAAACCCTAAGCGCACTGCAGCCGAATGACATTCATCCAGTCATTAATCTGGTAGATCAACTGTGGAAGGAAAGGCCGTACTCAAAGCAGTGAAGTGATTCCTGGTCAAAAACACATGGCCTGAGCTTAACTCGATATAAATACAGAGACACATGCTGTCCTTTGACCTCCAAAAAGGAGACTTCTCTACGGAGGATAAGCAGCCCACTGGTGCCGATAGGGACTGCAGGATTTGGCTGTCCCTGCCCAGGCCCCACTGCCAATGGCCAGTCTGCAGCCTTCCGAACAGCATCTGCACTGACGGGCCACTTGGCCAACTTGGACAACTGGAGCCACATCTTAAGGGAGACGCCATCAGCCACCTGGGTCTCACACAGACAACAGTTAAAATCAGGGCTGTCTCCAAAGGAAACGCGCAGAAAAACCTTGACCAGGTCTTTGTTCCATCCTGCCTGTGATACGCAAAAGAACGCCACTGTCCCGGATTCTGAGGACTCGGCTTGGTTAATGGGTTCTTCTGGTCTCTCGTCATTTTTATTCCTCTGGTTTCTTTTTTCTTTCTGGCCCTCCTTCAATTTATAATCTTGGATGTTTCTGTATGTCTCTGTGACCCCTTCCAAGGAAAGACACTATATCAACCTAATGGAAATAAATATTAATATTCATGTGCATACTTAATATCCAAACCCTTTATGAGAGAGCCATATGGGGAGAAGGCAGTATATTATCTCAGGCTGGCTCTAAGGTCCCATGGAGTGAACTCAAAAGGACATTATGGCAGATCCTGGAATCAGTAGAGAAAGAGAGAGCTGAGGAGACTGGGCCCTGCCACTAACCTGCAGTCCTACGACTCAGCCTATTTTCTTATCTATTAAACGGGAAGTTTAAAAAATCAGCTCAAAGCTATTTCATGTCTAAATGGATCAAAACAGTAACAGCCAATACCACACATTACACGCCACGCTGTTTCGAGTGCTTTCTATACGTTAAGCCACTTAATCCTCTCAACAAGTGTACATACTACTATTATTAGCCTCATCTTACAGATGGGAAAAAACAAAAGCACAGAGGAGGTAAAGGACTTGCCCAGCCCCTCAGCTAATGAGTCGCAGAGCCAAGATTTGATCCCAGACAGTCTGGCCTCTGTGTCGGTGAGCAAACCAATGTGCTGTTTCATGGGCTGGGTATTCTAGCATTCTGGAGTGGGGAGAAGAAAGAAATTACAGTAGTGCGAATTCAAGTCGTTTTAGCTGCAGTGCCTACATCTGGATCACCAAGCAATCCAGAGTAATAACCTACCGAGACTATTCAACCGCCAATAAACACTCCCATATAAACACTCCCTCCAAAGAGGAGAGTTAAACTCTTCCTTTACAAGAGCCCAGAAAAGTATTACTTAGCAGCCAGTGCATTGTAGAGCTGATTTTGGTCTGTCAATACTAAATGTCGTAAATAAAGACAGTTTTTAAGGAGCACCTTATTAATAAGGCACGCTTGCTTCCTGGCAAATTTTATTTTTGTCAGCTCAACTCTTTAGTAATTTGGCTCTGCTTTGCAGCCTCAGGGACCACAGATTTATTACCAGGCTCAATTAGCTCATTGTTTTCCTTCTAGATGTGGTCCCGGATGTGCACCATGAGATGTGAGCCACAAGATGGCGCTCTAATATAGGAAATGAACTACTGAGCTAGGTTCTGGGTTATTAGCATTTGGGACAGTGATATTCTCCCCCACAGAATTACAGGACACTCAACTTTTGCAAAGCCCTCTGCTCACAACTCCTGTCTGGCCACAAGAGTTTCTGCACACTTACTTTCTGAGGAAATCTTCTAACCCCTGACGACGCTGATCTACATGCTGGCGATTATTCATGTTGAAAAACAGGTTTTTAGATGGAAGTTCTGGCAGTTGCCTTAGGAAAAAGAAAAAGAAAAATGGTTTTTTAATCATCAAATCAAGGTGGGTTAGTGACAAAATCTCTCAAAGTGAAAGCAAATTATAATTATCATATAGTTGTATATATTAGGGAATATATAATAAGGGTATGAGAAAATTAACTGAAGGAAAAACCCATTTTTAAATTTTTTTGAGGCCTTTCATGATCAATACTCACCAGGTTAGTGAAATTCAAGTGATAAATTTTGAATTCAGATGTAGTAGCCACAAAGCTAACTAAAGCTATAGATTGCAATCAAGAAGCCTATAAAATCCTTCATATTTTCTGTATCTTAATGCATGACAAATTTTAAAATATTGATTATAATAATAAAGTCTCCTCAATATCACTTGCTTAAATCACTTACACCAGCAATGCATTATTTTGGAGTCTCTGCCTCAGCCACACGAATTCTCTGTATCTTCTTCGCACACAGGATGTTTTCATTGTAAAACACATGCTGTTGGTCTGTTTGAAGAAAAAGAAAAATATAAGCCTCAGTTCAGGAAAAAAATGTTTTTTCTTCTGTCGCTAACTCACCAAATGCACCCATATTCATTTTCATAGGACTTTTAAAAACCAAAAGTACGTTTGCACTTATGCTAGAGTCCAATCTTGCGCAAAGCCCAGCACCAGAACATCCCTGGAAGCAGCTGGCATGGCATCAATGCGCAGTGCTGTCCTGGGGCAAGGCCTGACCCTGTCGTTCCGAGTCCTGAGGTAGCCTCCTGCTCACCTATTAGTACTGCTCTCAAAGATGAATCCTAAAAATTAAACAAATCCTGAAGTCTGAATGACTTCAATAAATGACCAATAAAAACTCGGGGTCATCCCTCCATTTTAACACCTTCCATCCATGTGGCTGGAGAAGCCTTTGGGAATTAGAGACACCTTCTTATGGCCTTTGACATAACACCACAAGAAGCCATTATATCCTTGCTATGGCCCATCAGTACAGATCACACAGACCACGAGGTTTGGTGGTTCTCAGGCATCCTGAAATCACTTTTTTTTTTTTTTTTAAATTTTTACTTTAAGTAGGCTCCATACCCAATGTGGGGCTTGAACTCAAGACCCTGAGACCAAGATTCGCATGCTCTACTGACTGAGCCAGCCAGGTCCCCTCTGATACCACTTTTTTTTTAAAATTTTTAAATATTTATTTACTTTTGAGAGAGAAAGAGACAGAGCACAAGTGGGACAGAGACAGAGAGAGACACAGAATCTGAAGCAGCCCCCAGGCTCTGAGCTGTCAGCACAGAGCCGGAGGCGGGGCTCGAACCCACAGACTGCAAGGTCATGCTCTGAGCTGAAGTCAGACGCTTAACTGACTGAGCCACCCAGGTGCCCCTGATATCACTTTTAAACAAGAGAACAGCAGTCTCCTTCTCTACTAGAAGTACGAGGGAGTGTGATCCAAGGCAGAGAGAGGCCTGTGGTACACAGGGACAGTCACACCCATGGAGAACCCACGTGCCAGTTCTGGTCCTGCCACACGGCAAGTCACTTAAATTCCAGTTTGTTGAGTGGTAAAATGGAGATGAAGCAGTGCATACCCATTTCACCGGGTGGTTGTAAGGACTGATGATAAGTACCCGACAAATATTATTATTACTCGATAGGAGATGTCAGTTTCCTTCCGGCTACCCTACGGCAGACTTGGAAAAGCCACCTACGGAGTCCCCATCCTGAGCAAAACAGCAGCAATTCTCCTTGGGGTGAACCCAAGACTGGTAAATACATGCTTCTCCTTTCTCCTTTGTATAAAACAAGAGACTGGCAAGTATCTTGTCTAATGGCTTCGTAAAGAGATTTCTGTTCTCTAGATTTATTTCAAAATCCTATTTCAGGGGCGCCTGGGTGGCTTAGGCCGACTTTTGCTTAGGTCATGATCTCGCGGTTCGTGGGTTCGAGCCCCGCGTCAGGCTCTGTGCTGACTGCCAGCTCAGAGCCTGGAGCCTGTTTCAGTCTGTGACTCCCTCTCTCTCTGACCCTCCCCTGCTCACGCTGTCTCTCTCTCTCTCTCCTAGAAATAAATAAAAA